TTCCGTCGTGCAGGGGAAACTGCGTGACTTTACTTCTACTCAAGCATTTGAGTTTGAAGTGTGCTTAACAGAATGGGAACCCGACCCTGTTACTGCTTTTGCTGCCTTAATTATCCGTTATTATTGACTTAGTGTAGCAAACGCTAAATATTTTGAGTGGCGGTCAAAGCTAATCACTTGTCTGCGTGATGTGTTTACGTAAAGCTGGATACGTATGAGCTCAGCCGCAGACTTGGACGAATAAGAACATTAGCAGTGTAACAACGGTCTGCTTTCATTCACCGGGGGCTTCCAGCTCAAATCAAGGGTTATCCCACAGCCCTGACTTGACCCCCCACTGTGATGTTCTGGGCATGCATTCTGTTGGGCGGGGCTAAAGTACTGTCTTCCTCTTCATCTGTTCACTTTACAGTAATGTCTACCAGACATCTGGGTACCTATGGAACTGAGAGTAAAACTGAACAAACCGTACATCACTTTATGACGTTGGCTGCCAAAGGCGTCATCTTGTAAAGACCTAACTGGGTTTTATTGACTGTGAGAAGCAAAGCGGAGGGACATTCTGGGTCAGACCCCAGTCCAACTACTCCTTCTAACGTGATGGCTAAGCACCACCTTCCTGAACCGGGGACTTCCTATCAGTAATTAATTTCAAGGAACAGTCTCATCTTCAATCCCATGGCTGTGAGCTTTCTGAGTACCAAGTTTCCAACTCCGTCTTCAGTATCAAACCCCACACGTCAGTCAAAGCTCAGACTGATCCTCACATCTTAAAAGCAATTCCCCCCCCCCCAAAAAAAATCGTAATCACGGTCTGCATCTCTTCCGTTATTTTTCTTTCATACTCCGTGTCAACACGGGCTGGGGGCCGCGGGTGCAGCGAGACGCTGTTTCGGCTGAGCTGCAGCTGATACGCTGGCGAGCCTGGGGGGATACGCGGTAAACGAGTACTTCCCCTCTGTCAACAGGAGACTTTATTGCTTTAAAGTAATAAATCATAAAAGTTCTCTCTCCCCCGGACCCGTTAGATACGAGAGCTGGGAATCAAATCAATTTAAAGATTCTGTACGGAGGCCCCAGTGTATAGAACAAACAGGCGTGTCAAACCATTTCAGCACGGACTCACTGTAAATAGATTATCTCTTTTCTGGGTGCATGTGGGGGTGGGGGGGTGCATTTCCAACTGCATTAACCCTCCCATTCCCCTTTCCCCCCTGTCTGAGGTCCGCAGCTGTGGTCAAAGCCCCACTGCTCTCTCCAGCCCCCCCTAGTGATACGGATGAGCGACGTGACACTTGTCACAGAACTCCTGAAGCAATGAAATTCACCCGGTGCCCCCGTCCCAAAACTTTCGCTACGCTGCTGTTCATGCCATTATCACTGCTATTCTCCCGCCAGGCTCCTGTCCGCTGCTCTGCAGCCACGGCTCAAGCAGTTCACTGTCTCCCTTGGAACATGTGACAGTACAACTCAACACAACTAAACACTCAAAATGTTTAGTCGCGCGGAGGCTGGGAAGAGCGACCCTCCTCATACGCTGCCGAATAATGCACAGCCCCCCCCAGATCCCGCACATTTAAATAAAACCGATAAGCGTCGTATTGCAAATTATATTTTAATCTGGTCTCAGCTGGGCTCGGGAGCGTGGTGGAGTATGTTGCGGAGAAGATTAAAAATAAACGGGGACGTAAATGAGAGGCACGTCGAGCGCCGGGCGTGGAATGCGGCGCTTTGTGCTTCATTTTCATTAAAATGTGCAGTTTGCGCTCCAGCAGGCTGGCTGGGTTGCCGCTTCCTCGCCGGAGTCACAGTCCGCTAGAAAATGAATATTTCAGAAGTTGTCATGGGCCGCTTGGCACAGAGCTGAGGCCGGGACGTCTTGGCAGGCGATCTATCACGCCGCTAAGTGTCACCCTTAGATTATCCCCGCTGTTATGACAGCAACATTATTCATCAGGATTACTGCCCCCGAAGAACGCAGCCTGTGCTAGCACCGCCGCCGTCGTCTGCCCCTTATCGATCGCCGGGCCGTTCCATTACCAAAAGAGGCCATCTGCGTGACAATCCGCCCCATGCGTGGCGATGGCAGCCGGGCGTGTGTGTGTGTGTGTGTGTGTGTGTGCGCGAGTGTGTGCTAACAGGGCTGAGATAAGCAGCCATTGTACTGAATATCTAAAGAATTAAGTTTTTTTTTTTTTTAAGTTCCAGACCTGCAGAGAACAAGGGGTACTGTGAACCGACGAAGCCGAAATGGAGATGGAACAAGCTCTGCTGTGCATGACTTCATTTAGATGTTGAGAAGGCTCACATGTAGACAGCTAGTACATACGCAGAGGCGATTATGATCTGTGTCCTCGGAGCTCTGTGTGTATATGCAAGATAAATCTGGGAACAGTGAGCACATTATAGTCGCTATATACAGCACTTCACGATCCACGTAAAGCAGCAAGCACAGTCAGATTAAAAGAAAAGATTTTAATGACTGAATTAACCCGATATTTTGTACAGGAGACCTGTTAATGTGTTTATGTGCTGGGGAGTTTAAATGACGCTAGACACGGGTGTGTATGATGTTATTGTCATACATCACAGCCATCTTTGTACGGCAGGAGTCGCAGAGAAGATGAAGACCCTGTGCTGTCGAGGATCCCTGACACTGAAAGTGCATCAGTTCCATTACTGCTTCATTTCCCGCCTCCTAATTAACCTGAGCTATGCGAGGAGACGCAGTCCCTTAAGCCTTGGTTTGTCTTCTTTTAATTGAACTACTTTTTTACACTTCTTGGGGAAACAGGTCCAAAATGGGCCAGAGGGGGTGACCTGGGAGACTGGATGTGGGGGGGGGGCAGGGTGGTGAGGACCCAGAAGCCGAAGCCGCCTGGTTTTCTTTATTTGATATCATTCATGTTGATACGTGATGTGTGGGCCACTCAGGGGTGTTCCAGACACGCGGGGACATGGCTAAATGAAGGATCGCCCTGCGAGCCGCTTAATTAGGGCAAGTGGAGATCCCTGCCCCCCCCAGAGGGAGTATTGTATGGCTGCCCCAGACACATATAATTAACCCCACGTGCGGCACCTGACTGGGGTAGCCAGGGGGTCCGGCATTGACCAAAGACTGCCCTGGCGCTGCCACGGTGCCTGTGGAAGCCCCCCTACCACCCCCCTCAGCCCAACCCCAACACAGAGAAATCCACCATGAGCACCATGCTAGTGAGTGTTTTGCCATCTTCGATGCAATATATTTTTTTTATAAAATAATGCAGGAAAAACTTTACAAAATGAAAACTAAGTAAAACGTTTTCTACAATTTTTGTTTGAAGCCCAGTGCTTCATCTGTTTTTACCGCATTTTACCATGGGGTTGGATTATGAATAATCCAGTTTACTGAAGTTTATGGGATGTCCCCACAACCTATGTTTGTCTGTATCTCTTTATCTCTCTCTCTCTCTCTCTCTCTATATATATATATATATATATATATATATATATACAGTATATTTATTTATTTTCAAAAACAATGGTTCTGTACACAAGTGATCAGCCTTTTGTTATTGCCATTTATTCATTACCAGGATGCTATCAGAGGCTTGGCTTGGGAGGTGGGGGGGTGGGGGGCCCCCCCCCCCCCCCCCCCGGGACAGTTCGCCATCATGGGAACCAGCACCCAGGAGGAGGCCAAGGTCACACGCCTTCCCTTTGTTAAGATATTCTTTTTTCATGATTTAGACATACACCAGCAGCCTGGCTACCCACAATTCCATGTGGCCAGGCCGAAATCAATATCCGATTATCCTTCTGTTTATAACAGCTGCAATTGCTCAAATGCTGATTCTGACGGAGATATGGTAAATGTATATCCATTTCAGAGACAGATATTTTTCACGTTCCCGTGAGCACGAAAATATGTTTCTTCTTCACTATGTTAAGGATATGTTTGGTGCATAGATATAGCTTTTAAGAATAATGGTACAGTGGCAAATTGCACAGGCTCATAGCAAATGTGTGAAGAGAGCTGACCATTGACTTTTCACTGGAGGAGCGAGGACTCGTGCAGCTTTGCTCGTAAATCTCCAGCCCTCAGTCAGCAGCAAAATAACCCGGCTCTTTGGCCAAGATGCTTCCAGGGTCTCCATGTTGGGTGAGGTGTGACCGGCAATCTTCTCCACAACAACCAGAGTTGTTAAGATAAACAGACTCGTCCGAAACTCAGTTCTTCACACCCGACGATGTTGAATCCCTTCAACCATCCTGTCCCTCTAGAACAGGGGCTCCCAACCTTTTGATGTTGCCTAGGTGCCGGCAGATCAGTTGATGAATCTGTAAGTTTACCTGTTTCCATTTTTTTTTCAGATGTGACCAGAATGCTCAAATGTGAAACATTTTAAAATATATAGTTTGTTTTTGGACATTAATCAACCCCTCCGCTTAAACCTCCACTGTTTCACGGTAAGATGGACTGCTGGATTGGGGGTTGGAAAGCAGAGCCCTAAAACATTAGCCGCCTCACGCACAGCCAGAGAGCCTGGACACCAGGCTGACCCGCTTCCCCTTATTCAGCCTTTAGCTTCTCCCTCTCCACCCTTCAAGTCGTTGGTCGATCAGCAGTCGCCCTGACGGTAACCCAATGCACCGTGCCACTCTATTGGTTAATATATCGGTAATGTTGGGCCGTGAGCAACTGCAGGGAAATAATCAGAGCAGGATGCCTCCCCACGTGTCTCAGAAGGGGGTGTGTGGGTGGTTTCACAGCTAATTCTTCTCCAGGGCTGACCTGGAGAAACCATGTAGTAAAGGCCTCAGATGAAACACCACGCTCATCTTCCAAGAGGATTATGGTCACCATCATATTTACTCACAGACCTCCCCTGCTGTCAATGACTGTTTCACGCTGAGTTTATACCTACTTCACCATTCAGAATCCAGCTGAAAGACCTTGAATGAGGGCCCATTGTAGGGAAGAAGATGTTGACATCATCTGCTCCATGCATCCATCCATCTTCTATAAAAACTTATCCAGTAGAGGGTAACAGTAACCCTGGCCAGGGAACAAGGCAGAGTCTATTTAATTCATTTTTATACATCTTGAGATTATATTTTTCTAGGAAGAAATTTTTATACCATGGCTCTGTTCACTTTGAAAAACAGTCTGTAAGAATAATAAATATTAATGTGCAAATAAACCTTAAATGAACCTGTTTTGGCAGCGTTCTTCAACATTTGGGATTCTTTCTTTGCCTTTTGTGGAACTGGAACTCACGCCATCCAGTAACATCAAACAAACAAACAAATATATGCAAATAAATATAAAAATTTGTTGTATATTATTTTTAATTTTGCAATTATATATATATATTAAATATATAAATATAAGACCAAAACAATCAAAGAAATAGTGGCATTCTTCCGTTACATATGAACAAAGTAAGTGACACACGTCTAGCTGTTATTCTGTTGTGACTCAGACAGGCACTCTGATCCCGTCCACTGCACAGTGCAAGACCTCCCTCTCCCCCCCCCCCCCCCCCCCCCCCCCCCCCCCCCCCCCCCCACCTTTATCCCTGCCCGCCCCAACCCCCACCCCTTCCCCCCAAAAACTCTCCCCTCGTTATCTCCTCTGAACAAATTTCCCCACTCCGGCAAACGTCATTTTTCACAGGTGTATCTAGTGAGAGGCCCAGCCCTGTCAGTATCGAACCGCCGCGCTCCTGTAGATCAATACCAGGCACATCAAGCGGGAAACACAATAGAATTACTCAGAGATTACAAAAACACATTCCTCCTCGATGTCTCTCTATTTTGTTTGCCTCTGATGCACACGGCACAGTCCATTTACAAACCATATTTTATTTAACGCTCAAGGGGCACTTTGCCGCGGAAGGCTATGGCTTTGTATGTTTTGTACTCTTTTCCCCTCAGAGATATTAATTATTCAGAGGTTTTAATTGAAGGAGGGTGTTTGAGCCAAACGGCCTGCGTACCGTCAGCCCGTTTTATTCCCTAATAAATAGCTGCCCTTCATCTCCGCTCCTCACGGGACTCTCTGCTCATCCCGCCTCAGCTTTGAGACGAACATTGGCAGCTTCGTGGTAAGATACAAAAATCTATTTCCCGCAATTATGGGAAAAATGAATTATATTCGTCCCGCTCTTGAAAAATAATGTATGTCCCACATGCAATAAAAAGTGAGGCAGGGATAACAAGTGGTGGAGATTTGTTACCTTTCAACATACCTCCTAAGTGGTAATAGGATAACTCCTGACACATTGGGAGCCTATCAAACTGCCCCTCAGACTTGACCCCGGGGTGAAACAGGAAAGTTGGCCTTGTTGCCAGGAATCCCCCCCCCCCCCCAAAACGGGCTCCCCAATAATGAAGTGACCCTGGAATAATAGAAAACCCTCAACTACCGTTTGATGATTTGTGCGGGATAAGCGGCCCGATCCTGATTCGGAGTCACAGTTCATTTCATTTTTACCGCTGATGAGATCTCGGCCACTATCTGATGAAATTGAACAACTATTACCCGGCTCTCGCCAGTGAAAAGCCCAGCTGACCTGCTCTTAACAGAAATCCCATCCACCCTACTTTGTCAGCAGTTTTGAATTCATCGTTGCGGGCAAGATGATAGGAATAATCTCGCCAACTAAGATTGACAGTTCATTTCAGAAATCAATATTTACAATTTACTTCTTTCAAAGTTCATTCGAGAGAAGATTCCATGTTGTCCCTCTCCAAATAAGCTGATCATATCTTGGTCCGCCCTGGAATGAGTTTTCCCAAAATGTGAATTTTTGGTAAAAATCAATGTCAGGATTGTGCACTTTAATCTAGCCTTTGATGACAGTAAATCTTTATCTTTTTATGGAAGGACGGCAGTGGATGCTGACACCATTTCCTCTCAGAACAAAGCCCAGCCCGCGTGGACCCCAGCAGATACATGGGCCTCTAATGTAGCTGGACGTGTTTCACTGGGGTCATTAATCAGGCAATTTGACAGGCATTTCTTACCAGCCGGCACACGCTGGAGGGGGGCTAGAAAACCAGAGGTTGTGGGGTGGGCTGACGTGGGAGGGGGGGGGGTTCAGGATAGGAATTGGATCCGGATCTTTCCACCACTCTATTGTATTTTAATTCCCGCTCATTACCAGTGTCTGAAACTCATCGCCGCAATTAGCCTCTCTCTGGCAATTAGGGCTCGCCTGGTGGCTCTTTTGCCAATACCCCACATTCAACTACAGGGGGCGCCCTCTCATTTTTAATGATGCATTTCACAATCAATTTATTCAAAACAAAAAGACATAATTTCTCCTGCAGTCCGGACCTTTCGCACCACAAACTGCGTGGATTACCGATAATCCTGAACCATGATTATGCAAACCACGGGACCAGTGCTGATTTTTTTTTTCCATGAATGTTAATTTTCAGGGACTTGATCACTTACAGAATGTAACTGATGGTCTGTGTTTAGAAAACTTCCCTTATTAAAGGGGCCATTTTAAAAGATTGCATGTAGTGAGTACAAACATAGGCTGGGGTCTTGCAGAAACCATCTAATTTTCACCTGAATTTAAAACAAAATGGTGATATATGCTTATTTATTTCATTGTCATCTCTGAAATCTGCTGCTATTAAAGCCAAATCCGAGCGGGGCGGCGAGTCACACTGCATTGTGCTCCCAGGTGTGATTGTGATGTCAAACTGAATCCCGCGGCTTGTCTCAGATGACCATAGATCCATCAGTACTTCATGTAGGACCAGCGGCCCAATAAAGGAAGCCCAGGACTGGGGCAAGGCGGCTCGTCTGCACGGGTCAGCTGGGATTGGATTGCAGTTGGGATCACTGAAGCGTCCCGAGTGCGTTTAATTGTCCTGCGGGAGCGAGGAGCGCCTGCCATTCACACGGCTCCCTGAGATCCGGCCCGGAATAGCTTATTCTGTCACCGCGATTGTCGCGAAGACGACCCGACCGGAACGAACATGATCTGCTGTTTGTTGGTACAATGGGCCATCATCTTTTCAGATGTCCCGACATTTCAAACCAGCTTCACATGCCTAGTGAGAGGTAGGTGTGTGTGATCCTAAAATCGTTCCTACAAACAAATTGCTGCAATTTATTAGTTATCTGCAAAGCAAGGCAAGGTTCTGGCTAAGTGATTACGGAAGATGGATGGATGGATGGATGGATGGATGGACAGATAGTAATGATACAAGCAAATGTGTTTTCAAATCTGGTATCTGAACAAGCGACCAGTTGTAATCCCTAAAACTAAATATTTTTGGTAAATTGGCTAAAATGACTGTGTGTTAATTCCTGTCTGTTTTGCCATCAAGTCCTTAATACATAGTGTTGTATGCTTGTGATTTGCACTGCATCTGCATGGAACACTACTCTGGGCTTATGTAGTACCTGGCACTGTGTCCTGAAGGAAGCACATGAGTAAGGATCTCATGGTACTATGAAGGCAGCCATAAAAGGCCCTTCAAACTCAAACGTTGGTTATTAATCTGGAGGGGTGTGAATATCTTCAGCAACTTGAGAAACTGCGTAACGAACAGAAGCTGTACGTGGGATTTATTAGGATGCGGTGTATTTACTGCCATTAAAGGTGATTTTCACGCATCACCGGATTGCGAGTACTCTTCCAACATACTTCACCCTTTGACAACATTCATCTATTTTCCACACCCGTTTATCCAGGGTCATGTAATAAATATGCATCTTATATACAGGGAAAAGTGCTCTTTGGCCTTGCTGTCTGCTAAACTAAATACGACTAACATTATGAGATTAGTTGACTTCTTAGACACATGCCACACACTTGAGTCCCATTGCTCACACAATCCATTACCCCCGTTCATAGACTGCTAAATGGTTATGCAGACGTCCAAAGGCACAGCAGACATGGAGCGGCCTAGCTAAGCCCACGGCCTCCTCGACCCTCGGTCTGAACCAAGAAGTGGTTAACATGGAAGGCAGTCTCCCCCCACTGACCCCAAACAGGAGGACGTTCCCATTGCCATGGGACCACAGAGTGTGTTGGTTCTGACCCCATGAAACAAGTGCTCCCCAGTCTTTCCTTGAATCTGCCATGGGGCAGCTCTGGTCCCTGGCACTCCAACACTCTTTCCTGATAGTCGAAGGACAGAAAGGCTTCCAGTCCAGGAACTTGGTGGACGGTACCTTTAGGGCTGCGCTGGTTTGTTTTGGCATTTCAACATGGCGGCAAACCACACATGATCGCTTTTACACACACTCAGCATTCCCTTCATCTTTTTAATGGGGGTGGGGGGGGGGGGTCGCTTTGAAACCATGGCGACCCTTGATTGGCCCACCTGTACGACATGATTAGGGGTTATGGGCAGCCTGTCTACTGCACTCTATAATCTTGCCAAGCCCCCCCCCCCCACTGAACTGTTACGGGGGAGGCTTTGAAGCAGACCTGTCATTTCGGATGGCGGGACCACAAGGCACAGGAAATGGCACTGTGGACGTTTTCATTCATGCTACTGGGAAGCCTTGAGGACGTGAAACATGGTGCACGTGAGATACGGACGTCGTGTCAAACGTGCAGGGGAAACCTGTGTACATGTCTTACATGCAGCAGAACCATCACCATTAAATACGCAAACTGTATTAATTAGAAGATGCGAGCTAAAATCTGAACGCAGTCTTAACACTGCACTCACCTGGGCACCGTCGATCTGCGATTCGTGACTCAACCGGCAACGATCCTTCCACAACGACTCACAGCTAGGGTTCGACCCCAGATTAGCCCCCGGCCCCCAGTTCACATCTCAGGATGAAAGGCTCACGGACGGCACGCTGACCCGAAGTGCGGTTATCTCCTGAAATAGGATTTGACGCCTTTAACGCGAAATAACAAATCAAAAGATCTCCTCTGCGGAGCGCGGATAATCTGATTTGCGGCCGGGCGCAGGCCTGAGCGCAGCAGCGTTATCCAATTCTCCATGTACACAGAGATCGAGGTGATGTACAAATTGTCTTATTGGAGGTAATAATTCAGTTTCCATTGATCGTGGCGTGAGCGACTAGCCTCCTTGTAAGCTTGTCAAATGCCTAAAGTAAATTAGAGTGAAAAGTCAGCGTGCTCTTCTGCAAAATCCGCTCTGATAATGCAGCAGATTTGCACCCCCAGCCCCCACCGATGTCAGCCCCCGCCTCGCGAGTTACGACCCCCCTCCTTCGCCCGCCGCGGCGCACTCTATCAAAACCTCGCTATCCATAGCCCCCGCAGAATAAAATACTGCACTTCCTGCTATTGACCAACCGAAATAAAATAATCCATGATGCATGAACAAGTCTAAATGAAATAATAATTTCTTTAGCGGAGAAAAACGGATCGGTAATACAGTAATTGGACAGATTTATTACCACCCCCTTGAGCGGAGCTGCCCAAACCGCCCGCTATTTTATTTAATCTCATATCAGAGGAATTATTGACTGGTAATCCATTGCTAAACATCATTTAGGGTGATGAATGAAAACGTCCACTTTTCCCCCACATAATCAATTCATATCTCATTAGCACGTATTATTTATGATCCTCAAAATAGCCCTTCCAGTAGTCCCCAGGGGGAATTGCAGACCACATCTGTTGCTGAAATGAAATGAAAAATACTGTAGCTTATGAGTTAATAACTATATAAGACACACACACACACACATATATATATAGGTATATATATATATATATATAAATATATATAAAATACTTTCCCACAGTATTGATCACCTCGGCCATTTTACAAATTAACTGGGGGGTGGTGAGTGGAGGGGCACTAGGACCTGTATTTTTTTTTCTTCTATATGGTAGGAGAATAGTTCTGGCAGAGGCCAAAATAACAGGTCAGTTCTGAAAGAGACTTAGCATAATGCAAATGTTTTAAAAATTAGGACCTCATACTTAAAATAATATATGAGAACTCAATAATACATGAGAACTTAATCTTCATTTTAGGACGTTCCTGATTCAGATCACAGGGTTACATTTTCCTTTGCTTTTGGCTGTTCAGTCATACAGTCTTAATGCTCAGGAATTGGTATAAGGTACAAGAGCAGGACCATTATTGGGATTTGAACTTCTTGGCTACCGGTGCAGGTCTATAACCACAGCTCTGGGCAATAAGAACCCTAGAATGAGTGGTTCTGTTGAGGGAGCACCTCTGTAAATGGTCAAAAAGATATGTTTCAGTACTTCATGCGAGGAACTACACAGGTGCGTGCAGATCTCCTGGGCAGCTGGTAAGACCCCGGAAGCCTTCAGGAAACGGATAAAAAGACAGATGCGAAGTCCCACAGTTGTTTCCCATCTCCTGGGCAGTGCCCAGTGCAGGAAATCACTGGGGAGTTTCAGTATTAACCAGGCAGTCAGTTCCAGCACCGGCCTCTTAAACTTGGCCTAATGACATTGACATGACAGCCAAGCAGGACGTGGGACCGCAGCTGATATGAAGATGAAGACAAAACATGGCTCTCCTTTGGCTGACTGGAGAGTTTCCATTAACTGGGCTGCTGATGGGAGGAGGCCGGATCGATGGTGGGTAGCCGGTCGAAAGGGGGTTTCTGGCCGAAGCTGCAGAGTTGAGAAAAAGGGAAACGGTCACACTGCGATCTCTAACAGACCATTCACTGGACCTACGCATGGTCCAGTGATGCATGAGCATCCACATCAACCAGCAGCAGCTAATGTCATGGGAACATCAGTCCCACAGGGCTTGTGGGAACATGCTAACTGTATCAGCCCTGCAGTGTAACAAGGCCTGTGGGAACATGCTAACTGTATCAGCCCTGCAGTGTAATAAGGCCTGTGGGAACATGCTAACTGTATCAGCCCTGCAGTGTAATAAGGCCTGTGGGAACATGCTAAATGTATCAGCCCTCCATTGAAAAAATGCCTTTAGGAACATTCGAACTGTATCAGCCCTCCAGTGTAATAAGGCCTGTGGGAACATGCTACCCCCTGGGAACATGGAACCCCCTGGAGTGGATGCCAGTCCATCACAGGGCTGGGGTACCCCCTGAAGTGGATGCCAGTCCATCACAGGGCTGGGGTACCCCCTGGAGAGGATGCCAGTCCATCGCAGGGCTGGGGTACCCCCTGGAGAGGATGCCAGTCCATCGCAGGGCTGGGGTACCCCCTGGAGTGGATGCCAGTCCATCGCAGGGCACAGGGCTGGGGTACCCCCTGTAGAGGATGCCAGTCCATCACAGGGCTGGGGTACCCCCTGGAGAGGATGCCAGTCCATCGCAGGGCACAGGGCTGGGGTACCCCCTGGAGTGGATGCCAGTCCATCGCAGGGCACAGGGCTGGGGTACCCCCTGTAGAGGATGCCAGTCCATCACAGGGCACATACACAGTCACAAAATATGTGCAATTTAATGATAACAGGTAGCCTATCTTCATATCTTTGGACTCTGAAGTGACAGAGGCAGCATGAAAACTCTCTCTCTCTCTCTCTCTCTCTCTCTCTCTCACACACACACACACACACACAAACAGAGAGAGAGAGAGAGGGAGAGAGAGAGAGAGAGAGACTGATTTGTATTCATATCTTTGTGGGGGCCATCCATTAATTTCTATGGGACAAACCCTAATCCCAACAATGACACCATTAACTCATACCTAACCTTAACCATAAGTAACCAAACAAAAGACTTTTGACATTTTTAGTTTTTTGATTGCAGTCACAGATTTTTATAGAACTGAGTTTCCCTTTGGACCAAAAAAGTGGTCCCCACAATATGAAAATGACACACCCCAAGGTGTGAAAACACTGTGCTATCACCAAATGCACTTTTCCTGCAAAATCAATTATAAGAAATTATTTTTACTATTCCTTTAAGTTTCTAAATAAATACCAGGAAGACGAAGAAGAAGAGAAATGAAGCTGCTAGTTTATAAACGTTTACAATACAGATCCATAACAGTATTTGCTGAGTCCCCGGCTGACGCGGCCGTATCTTCTCTGACGTGCTGGGGCGGCGGCTCCCCCTCGGCCCGGGAACGCAGTCCGCTCCCCTCCTTCCGTCTCATCGCCGGCACTTCCTGGGACACAGTGTTCAAAATGAGCTCCCGTCAAAAGTATAAAAACTTAAGTAGTCTATAAAGAGTTTCGTTTTAGAAGACAAACGTGCAGTCAATTCCATGCGAATAATACATACGATAATATTTAATATACTTCCTGAAATGTTTCCTTCGTACCCAAGGCCTGCCTGCATTCAAGCGTGACGCCCTTAGTTAAAGTGAAGCGGATAGTTGAGCCAAGATGAGCGGAGAGCTGCTGATAGAGGAGACTGGGGGCCCGACATGGAGAAATGGTGTAAAAAACACGGTAATTAAAAAGAACAACTCCGGTCGTCCGTGCATTTAATATAATCATAATTTATAAATAGCAACATAATTTTCGCTTCGCTTAATTAATTTATAATGTCCTAGCTCTTATTAAACAGGGATTTTAGCCTATTTTAAAAAATTTACAATAATTATTTCTAATAATAATTTCTAATAATATTGAAGTTCGTAAAGAAGACTATGTTTCTAAATCAGCAGTTTTCGAAATGTACAGTTTATTTAGGCTTGTGTTTTGCTTAGTTTAGAAAAATAGAGAACTATTATTATTTTTTTTAAGCTCGCTTCTATTAAAAATTCACTAATCTAATGAAAGAGTACATGCATTATCAACAACAATTTCCAGCATGCCAACGTAATTTTTTTTTTCAAACCTGGGGAGCATTTTCCTTCCCCCGGTTCATTATTTTCCCCGTTTTTCCATTTGGGTAAGACGATGAAACGAATGAAGGTACTTTTGTAATCAAATTGTTTGCTAAATTCATACCCTTAAGCCAGTTTATCACATACCGAACGCACTTTTTGTGCCATTATATTTCATCTCTCCCATAGTCTCATACAAGCCATGCAAATATTTGATTCGGCTTCGACTAAATTAATTTTTTTTTTACTCTGGGGATACTATAATACAGAATTATATTTCAAAACATACGAATAAAACGGTACATACATGCATACACATGTATGCCGTAGATATTACAACTGCATTGTTTATATAACCCATAAATACTCTGTCGGAATACAAGGTCGGAAATTTACATTCTTTTTGATTTTTGCAATGTGGCATTATATCGGATTCCACAAAAAACGTAATGTGTTGCGCGCTTAAATAGGAAGCCGTTACATGACTCGAATGTTATTAAACTTATACAAGTATGCCCCCTACAGGACATGTACGGAAACTGCACGATTAAGCGTGACAGCCTCTGCCAGTCAGCCTCAATTATTTTAAACTCGAGTATAGATGTTTATTACCTGTAACTTTTTGTTAATTACACATAATTTTATTTATTTCAGTTGCCCTTTTGCAATTGAGTTACTCCGCCAAAGAAAACAGACAGATGTAAATAAATGTTATATGTGGTGAAGATTGACACATGGTAGCCTTTGAAATTTTGCAGGTAATATGTATGGTTTATATTTCACTCCTGTTCTCTGCAGCTTGTTACTGTGGTTCTCATTCCCATGGCCCTCGGGCAGCAGCCACAGTATTGGGTCCGATCCTTTTCCGTGGCTTCCTACCTGCTCCTAGAAACCCAGACATTCTCTGTAAAGCTATTTCGAGAAGGACATCGCCGTTCAAAGGCTGCATTGGTGAAAGGCTGAAGCTTCACCTACTAATTTATTCATAAAGGACCATTACTCCTTATGCATTTTTAATCTGCCAGACATTGCCTTTTGTTGAGATATGGTGAAATCGTAGATTATAAATGGGCGTATCAATTAATACGGAGAGGACAGCACGCTGAAGCAATTAAGTCCTCTCCCAAAAGTCATTTCTCACATAGGCTGTTTAGCAA